TGATGTGGCTCCAAAGGCAAGACGGATCCAAACCAGCTGTTCTTAAAAGGGCCAGATGTTTAAGAAATGAGCTACTCTCATTCAATACCAGAGCTGTGATGATACTCTCTACCTTGCCTGCTCAGGTGCCAGATTCATCTCGAGAACACAATATTCGGTATATGTGTGATCCAAGACCAATGGAACAGTGTTTGTTCAACAGGAATAAGAATCTGAAAACAGGACCTGTAAAAAAGAAAAGTCCAAGTTTCTGACTTCAAGAAATCTGTTTAAGGATAGTGCAGGAGAAAGAGTTCTAAATCAGGATGTAGAAGCCCCTAAACTGACTTCTGTGTGTGCAAGTCCTGCTTGGCCACCACGCAGAGGACACATGAGCCTTTCTGTTCCTAGTGAGGAGGAAAAAGAAGTAGGAAGGGACCTTCTGGAAAGAAGATGGAAGCAAAGCTTAAGAGTACTAGTCTACATGTAGATCTAGAAAAGACAAGAGAGGAAAATGCCTCTCAGCTACATTCTGCCTTACTACCCCTTCTCCTTGGATCAGATCACTTGCCATGAGCAGTGATGAGGCTGTGCTCTGGCAGCAAAGAGCTGGATTCCGGTCCTGCACATGTAGCTCCCCATCCTGACTCCAGGCATTTCAGGCTGCCTGCTATCCTTCTGCTGCACTATACTCACATTAGCCCCTGCAAGCCACTCAATCGGGCCTGGTTTCAGGCCTGGGGGTGCAGAAGATCTGCACCTCGATTCATCCTTTGAAGGGTCGGGCCTCTAACTCCAGCTCACCTGCTTTACATCTGGACTCACCGAAAGCAGTTCTGCCACCTTCAGCGTGGCTTGGAGATGTGGACAGCCTTTGGCGGGGGGGGGGAGCCTCCATCTGTGACAAGCACAACCCTCTCCTAATCTCCAAAGAGCATGTGGGATGAACAGAGCTCAACGCTTTATTTCTCTTTCTCACCCGGCTCCCAAAGGGTCCGCAGCACATGCCATCGGTGCCAAGGCTCAGCCTTCCCTCCCCAACGACATATTGCTCGACAGCTCATGTATGAGCAACGGAGAATCGCTTCTCCTCCCCTCAACCAGTTACCATAAATCAGGCCATGGCCAGTTTAATTAACCTAAATGCACATTAATTCCCAGGCCCCAGCTAATGCTCACATAACTCTGGATTGAGAACACTGTTTTCTGCTCCGGCAGCCGTAATCCTTCCCAAGAGAGCATCGGTTCAATCCCCAAATAGTTCTAGGTGTGCCCACTGGAGTCCCCTTCCGCCCCACCCCACTTTGGTAGCCCGCTGGCACTCAGGAAGCCTCACTGAGCGTGGGTGCTTTGAAGCAGAGGTCGGCATCTCTTTTCTCTGCCCGCAGACTAATCATGTGGCTTCAATTATGTGTTTTCCCGAAAATAAGACAGGATCTTATATTAATTTTTGCTCCTGGTAGTTGCTTGCTTAGTTAGTCAGGGCTTGGCTCGATGGCTCAATTGGAGTAGCCTGCAGTGGCCAAAACAGGGTCCTTTAGGGTCATGGAGAGGGCTCATATCTTTGCATCCACACCTCAAGCAACTCTATTTGGCCCCCTTCCCTTAAGAAAGAAAAGCAAGCAAGCAAAGGGGGTGGGGGAATCCCCCTCCTTGCCCCTTCCTATCTCCTCTTCCTTCTGGGAGGAAGTTTTCAACTCCCCCCCCAAAAAAAAACCTACAGCGCCTCAGCGCTACTGCAACAGGTTTTTAAAAAAATCTTTGCCTCCTTCTCTGCCCCTCCACAATAGCCCTTTGCACATGAAAAGTGCAACATAAGAGAGAGAACCATTTAAAAACAGCTCCCAGGGAGGCTGCTGAGCTGGTCTGTTTCAGCATGGGAAAGAAAAATAAAAATGAATTGCAGCCCCTTAGAGACTCATATAGATTTATTTCCATGGGAGCGCTCGTGCATTAACCGTCTACATTCTCCGTTGTCTCTGAGGAAGTGGGTTGTGATCCTTTTTTTTTTTTAAAGCCCTCCTTAAAATAAATCTGTTAGCCTTTATCACAACACTTTTGTCCTGATTTCTCTTCGGCCATCCGGGAATCTAAACTCATAACAAAACCTCCAGGAGCCTGCCGGGCCCCAAATGGGAGCTGAGCTGACCAAACCAAGTCCAAAAGGACTGTTTCTTCTCCTGTCTTTGCTGGGATCTTGGTGGTTGGAAAGAAGTTTCCTCCGGTCTCCTCCTCGTGGGCTGCCTTCTCCTCTCCTCTGGGGTGCCAAGAGAACTGCCTTTCCTCCTTGCTAGAAACTCCTGCCATGCATTGGGTCAACAACACCCTCAAGATCAAGTGGTTTGCGACCTGAGGCAGCTGGAGGAAAGGGAAACAGGGGGGACCCTTGCCTGTGCCCCCCCCAAAGCTCCTTCCAGCTCCTGGGTGAACACAGAGTGAGGCACATGTGTGGCTGATCCCCTTGGGAGCTGTCAGGTGCAAAGATGGAGGGGGCAGGTTGGTATTTGGACTACAGCTCCCATGTCTCCCCAGGGGGCCAGGATGGCTGGGGATTCTGGGGGTTGTCTTCCAAAACAATTCTCCCCCCCCCCTCATTTTGATTCAGACGATGCAAAAGGGGACTGACAGAATTTCATTTTGAGCTCTGCTGGCAGTCGAGTGAATCAAGATTGAGCCACTGGAACGCCGGCAAGCAAATCAAGGCTGACCCAAGAGAGCGTGCTGCCTGAGGCAAAGAAGCCAGTAGGGGCATCGCCTGCTCCCAAAGTCAAGCTGCTTAGTGTGCGCCCCCCCCCCCAAGGTGGGTCCAGGTATTCCAGGCAGGGCGCTCCAGCTACAACAAAAAGAAAGGAACCCTCTCATGACTTTGCTGTCTTTTGGGGAGGCTCAGCCTGGCTCCCTGGGGCCTCCTCAGGGCCTCACCTTCCAGGGATGCTCCTCCTNCCTCCTCCTCCTCCTCCCATTAACAAAGACCTGGGTTGGGCTGGAATCTGTGGGAGCAAATGAGGCCGCTCTGGATCCGAGTTGGCTTTGGGTCCTTGGGGAAGCCTCCCTCCGGCTGTGTTTGGATGACCTTGATGAGTCCTCATTAATCTCTTCCTCACAGGAAAGTGGGGCTTTTGATCCCTGGTCCTGATGCATTAAAAGCAAAAAAAGAGCAAACTTCCCCTGGGGGGGGGGGTTTGAGGAACACCAAGAAGAGGATCCTCTTCGCCTTTCCCCTCCCAATTCCAGGGCGCCTCTGGCCTGCTTCCACCTCCTTCCTTAAATCCTTTCCCACGTCTGAATGGTCCCGGACAGAGGACACACAGGGGCCACCCCAAACCCTGCTGCTGCTGCTGGGGAGACCCATTTCCGGCTCTCCTCTGCTTATGTAAGAGCGCGTCCCCTGAAGGGTCAGGAATCCTTGCTTGGACGTTCCTGGCATCAACACAGGGGGTAGGCGGGTGGGTGGGTTTGCCGCGCTTTCCTTTTTTGCGAGTGGGGGAGAAAAGGAAGAGGCCAGAGCCAGCC